CCAGGAGCCAGAGCCTGTTGCTGAGGCCGTTCCCGGGCCAGAGGCCGTGCCTGAGGTTGCTGAGGAACCTGCCCAGGAGGTGGAACTGGCCGAGCCACTCGTAGCTCAAGTACCAACTGCCACAGTGGATGCTGTCTTACCAGCACACAAGGAAATCGAGGCCGAAGAGAGCATAGAGCCGGCCGAGGTGGCTGTGGATGACCAGGTGGAGAATGTCGAGCCCAGGGAGAGTGCTTCAGTCGCGATCCTGGAGGAGGGAGAAAAGTTGGCGGTGCCAGAGATCGACAGTGGTGCACCGGATTCCATTGCTGCGACAGATCCCATGGTGGAGGACACACAGGGAGCATGTCCTGCCAGTGAAGACATTCACGAGCTTGTGGAAGAGGAGCAAACCAAAGTCGATGTGCCACAGCAAGTTTCCGAACGCGAGGTCGAGCTTCCCATTCCAGTAGAAGAACTCCCAGAGTCGGCGAACGAAGTCGTCCAGGAGCCAGAGCCTGTTGCTGAGGCCGTTCCCGGGCCAGAGGCCGTGCCTGAGGTTGCTGAGGAACCTGCCCAGGAGGTGGAACTGGCCGAGCCACTCGTAGCTCAAGTACCAACTGCCACAGTGGATGCTGTCTTACCAGCACACAAGGAAATCGAGGCCGAAGAGAGCATAGAGCCGGCCGAGGTGGCTGTGGATGACCAGGTGGAGAATGTCGAGCCCAGGGAGAGTGGTTCAGTCGCGATCCTGGAGGAGGGAGAAAAGTTGGCGGTGCCAGAGATCGACAGTGGTGCACCTGATTCCATGCATGCGACAGATCCCATGGTGGAGGACACACAGGGAGCATGTCCTGCCAGTGAAGACATTCACGAGCTTGTGGAAAAGGAGCAAACCAAAGTCGATGTGCCACAGCAAGTTTCCGAACGCGAGGTCGAGCTTCCCATTCCAGTAGAAGAACTCCCAGAGTCGGCAAACGAAGCCGTCCAGGAGCCAGAGCCTGTTGCTGAGGCCGTTCCCGGGACAGAGGCCGTGCCTGAGGCTGCTGAGGAACTTGCCCAGGAGGTGGAACTGGCCGAGCCACTCGTAGCTCAAGTACCAACGGCCACAGTGGATGCCGTCTTACCCGCACACGAGGAAATCGAGGCCGAAGAGAGCATAGAGCCGGCCGAGGGGGCTGTGGATGACCAGGTGGAGAATGTCGAGCCCAGGGAGAGTGCTTCAGTCGCGGTCCTGGAGGAGGGAGAAAAGTTGGCGGTGCCAGAGATCGAGAGTGGTGCACCGGATTCCATGCATGCAACAGATCCCATGGTGGAGGACACACAGGGAGCATGTCCTGCCAGTGAAGACATTCACGAGCTTGTGGAAGAGGAGCAAACCAAAGTCGATGTGCCACAGCAAGTTTCCGAACGCGAGGTCGAGCTTCCCATTCCAGTAGAAGAACTCCCAGAGTCGGCAAACGAAGTCGTCCAGGAGCCACAGCCTGTGGTTGAGGCCGTTCCCGGGACAGAGGCCGTGCCTGAGGCTGCTGAGGATCTTGCCCAGGAGGTGGAACTGGCCGAGCCACTCGTAGCTCAAGTACCAACTGCCACAGTGGATGCCGTCTTACCCGCACACGAGGAAATCGAGGCCGAAGAGAGCATAGAGCCGGCCGAGGGGGCTGTGGATGACCAGGTGGAGAATGTCGAGCCCAGGGAGAGTGCTTCAGTCGCGATCCTGGAGAAGGGAGAAAAGTTGGCGGTGCCAGAGATCGACAGTGGTGCACCGGATTCCATTTCTGCGACAGATCCCATGGTGGAGGACACACAGGGAGCATGTCCTGCCAGTGAAGACATTCACGAGCTTGTGGAAGAGGAGCAAACCAAAGTCGATGTGCCACAGCAAGTTTCCGAACGCGAGGTCGAGCTTCCCATTCCAGTAGAAGAACTCCCAGAGTCGGCAAACGAAGCCGTCCAGGAGCCAGAGCCTGTTGCTGAGGCCGTTCCCGGGCCAGAGGCCGTGCCTGAGGTTGCTGAGGAACCTGCCCAGGAGGTGGAACTGGCCGAGCCACTCGTAGCTCAAGTACCAACTGCCACAGTGGATGCTGTCTTACCAGCACACAAGGAAATCGAGGCCGAAGAGAGCATAGAGCCGGCCGAGGTGGCTGTGGATGACCAGGTGGAGAATGTCGAGCCCAGGGAGAGTGGTTCAGTCGCGATCCTGGAGGAGGGAGAAAAGTTGGCGGTGCCAGAGATCGACAGTGGTGCACCTGATTCCATGCATGCGACAGATCCCATGGTGGAGGACACACAGGGAGCATGTCCTGCCAGTGAAGACATTCACGAGCTTGTGGAAAAGGAGCAAACCAAAGTCGATGTGCCACAGCAAGTTTCCGAACGCGAGGTCGAGCTTCCCATTCCAGTAGAAGAACTCCCAGAGTCGGCAAACGAAGTCGTCCAGGAGCCAGAGCCTGTTGCTGAGGCCGTTCCCGGGACAGAGGCCGTGCCTGAGGCTGCTGAGGAACTTGCCCAGGAGGTGGAACTGGCCGAGCCACTCGTAGCTCAAGTACCAACCGCCACAGTGGATGCTGTCTTACCAGCACACAAGGAAATCGAGGCCGAAGAGAGCATAGAGCCGGCCGAGGTGGCTGTGGATGACCAGGTGGAGAATGTCGAGCCCAGGGAGAGTGCTTCAGTCGCGATCCTGGAGGAGGGAGAAAAGTTGGCGGTGCCAGAGATCGACAGTGGTGCACCGGATTCCATTTCTGCGACAGATCCCATGGTGGAGGACACACAGGGAGCATGTCCTGCCAGTGAAGACATTCACGAGCTTGTGGAAGAGGAGCAAACCAAAGTCGATGTGCCACAGCAAGTTTCCGAACGCGAGGTCGAGCTTCCCATTCCAGTAGAAGAACTCCCAGAGTCGGCAAACGAAGTCGTCCAGGAGCCACAGCCTGTGGCTGAGGCCGTTCCCGGGCCAGAGGCCGTGCCTGAGGCTGCTGAGGAACCTGCCCAGGAGGTGGAACTGGCCGAGCCACTCGTAGCTCAAGTACCAACCGCCACAGTGGATGCTGTCTTACCAGCACACAAGGAAATCGAGGCCGAAGAGAGCATAGAGCCGGCCGAGGTGGCTGTGGATGACCAGGTGGAGAATGTCGAGCCCAGGGAGAGTGCTTCAGTCGCGATCCTGGAGGAGGGAGAAAAGTTGGCGGTGCCAGAGATCGACAGTGGTGCACCGGATTCCATTTCTGCGACAGATCCCATGGTGGAGGACACACAGGGAGCATGTCATGCCAGTGAAGACATTCACGAGCTTGTGGAAGAGGAGCAAACCAAAGTCGATGTGCCACAGCAAGTTTCCGAACGCGAGGTCGAGCTTCCCATTCCAGTAGAAGAACTCCCAGAGTCGGCAAACGAAGTCGTCCAGGAGCCACAGCCTGTGGTTGAGGCCGTTCCCGGGACAGAGGCCGTGCCTGAGGCTGCTGAGGAACTTGCCCAGGAGGTGGAACTGGCCGAGCCACTCGTAGCTCAAGTACCAACTGCCACAGTGGATGCCGTCTTACCCGCACACGAGGAAATCGAGGCCGAAGAGAGCATAGAGCCGGCCGAGGGGGCTGTGGATGACCAGGTGGAGAATGTCGAGCCCAGGGAGAGTGCTTCAGTCGCGGTCCTGGAGGAGGGAGAAAAGTTGGCGGTGCCAGAGATCGAGAGTGGTGCACCGGATTCCATGCATGCAACAGATCCCATGGTAGAGGACACACAGGGAGCATCTCCTGCCAGTGAAGACATTCACGAGCTTGTGGAAGAGGAGCAAACCAAAGTCGATGTGCCACAGCAAGTTTCCGAACGTGAGGTCGAGCTTCCCATTCCAGTAGAAGAACTCCCAGAGTCGGCGAACGAAGTCGTCCAGGAGCCACAGCCTGTGGCTGAGGCCGTTCCCGGGCCAGAGGCCGTGCCTGAGGCTGCTGTGGAACCTGCCGAGCCACTCGTAGCTCAAGTACCAACCGGCACAGTGGATGCCGTCTTGCCCGCACATGAGGAAATCGAGGCCGAAGAGAGTATAGAGCCGGCTGAGGTGGCTGTGGATGAGCAGGTGGAGAATGTCGAGCCCAGGGAGAGTGCTTCAGTCGCGATCCTGGAGGAGGGAGAAAAGTTGGCGGTGCCAGAGTTCGAGAGTGGTGCACCGGATTCCATGCATGCGACAGAGCCCATGGTGGAGGACACACAGGGAGGATCTCCTGCCAGTGAAGACATTCACGAGCACGTGGAAGAGGAGGAAGTCAATGTCGAGAAGGGACAACAAGTTTCTGAGCGCGGGCTTGGGCTGGCATTCCGAGTAGAAGAACTCCCACAGGTGACGAACGAAGCCGTCCAGGAGCCAGAGACTGTTCTTGAGGCCGTTCCCGAGCGAGAGGCCGTGCCTGAGGCTGCTGAAGAGGCTGCCAAGGGGGTGGAACTGGCCGAGCCAGTCGCAGCTCAAGTACCAACCACCACAGTGGACGCCGTCTTACGTGCACACGATGAAATCAAGGAGGAAGAGAGCATGGAGCCGGGCGAGGTTGCTGTGAATGACCAGGTGGAGGTTGTCCAGCCCAGGGAGAGTGCTTCAGTCGCGATCGTGGAGGATGGAGAAAAGTCGGCGGTGCCAGAGATTGAGAGTGCTGCTCCAAATTCCACTCGTGCGTTAGATCCCGTGGTGGACACACAGGGAGCAGCTCCTGCCAGTGAAGACATTCCCGAGCAAGTGGAAGAGGTGGAAGCCAATGTCGAAGAGCCACAGCAAGTTGAGCTCGAGCTGCCTGTCGAGAATGTCCCATGGGAGGCTGTTCAGGAGGCTTGGGACATCCCAAAGCATGAATCTGGTATTCAGGCTTTTGAGCTGGTGGCTGCCGAAAAAGATGTTTCCTTTTCACCAGCAACGGCCAGAGGCGTTCGTGATCCGACAGTTGACCCTTCTGGAGGAGGCGGTGGTGGCGGTGGCCTAGACATGAAAGTGAAGGATGAAAATCCATCTGGGGAATTCAGTGTTGTTGCAGTGACAACAATGACATGGGCAGATGGTAAGGAGCAGGTTTTGGGAGCTGTTGCTGTTCATCACGTGAAGGTGTTGTCATCTACTCTAGATGACGATTCTTGGGAGGAAGTGGCAGCTTCCGAACAATATGAACCAAATGGTCTTGGTAGCAGTAATGGTGGGACTCACAAGTTGGATTTGAACATCATTGAGGACTATGCTGGAGGCAAATAGTTGTAGTGTGATTGTTTACGAACTTCATAATGGCCATAGCATTGGCTTTGCTATTGTGGAATGCATTTGAAGTTATCAAACTGCAAAGTCGGACAAGCCAATCCAGATGTGTACCATTCTCTGCTCACATCATCAACGGGGTGCTGGAAGGCTACGATGGTTTCCGAAGCGTTGCTGAAGTGTAGGTGTAGAACATATTTTGCCGTGAGTCTGTTCCAAAAGGGGCGCTCAAGATAGAACTCTAACAGCAATAGAAACTGCAGAATGTTTTGCACAACGAAAATGCCAAAGTTGTACTCAAAAACTGCTACAATACACTGCCAGTCGGTGGGAAAATCATAATCACTGACCATCCGCACCAGAAGGCAGCCGTCGATCAAGATCTGAGGATGCTAGTTTTCACTGGAGGGAAGCAGAAGAGTACAAGCGAGTGGAAAGAGCTGCTCACGTCGCAAGGCTTCTCAAACGTCAACTTCAAACCTCTCCCCGCAGTCAAGTTTGCAGCTGTCATCGAGGCCGTCAAGTAAGAAAAGTCTCTGAATGCAATAAATCCTTTGTCATCTTGTTGGTGCACGCTCATATGGCCACCTACCAAGAGACCCATTCTTACTTCTCTAGGATGACCGGGTATTGACGGCAACCCGAACCGGATGGACGTGATTGGGAAAGGCGAGCAAGTGCGTGAGGGCCAAAAGCGGAGCTTTTGGGTTTAGGGTAAGCCGACCCCAGTCCAACTCGTCTCCTAGGGGACATTCCCGGAGCAAAGCACAAGCCCCTGCTCACAAAAGCCGTGGCAAATGGAGCGTAAGCGATACAATGACGGGGACTCTTCCAGAGAGGAGGAGGTTTTATTGGAGCCCTCAAGAAGGAGGATACCACCAAAGCAATAGAGCTTCCTTAAAGAACATATAAAAACAAGAAAAGCCGCGGTACCTTGTTTTACCATGGCTTTGTTAACTTATTATGTGTGCCAGCGTGGGAGAAAACACGTCCACGATCAGGTACGTGAACTTCCAGGTCCAGTCTGTCTTTGGGCATCCCAATGTAGCATTACATGGTAGTACAGGACTTAACCTACTTTAAGGCTCACAGTGGAATAGTGGCATAATGGAGCTTTTGAGTGACACAGAAAAGAGAAAAATCTTACCTGACTGTCATGTTGACCCTGTCCAGGATCTTTGTACCTGAGAACGTTATCAGTGACAGTGAGTGACAAATGCAGGAGGAAAAAATATTTTCGAACGTAAAAAAGAAGTCAGTCACAAGCAGCAACGCCCACAGACGTCTTGCCTGCACACGACGAAATCAAGGAGTAAGAGAGCAATGAGGCAGGCGAGGCGGCTGTGGACGACCAGGTGGAGCATGCTGAGGTCGTGGAGGAGGAAAAAAAGGTGGCGTAGCCAGAGGCGGCGTGCTGGATTCCATGCATGCCACGGATCCCGTGGTGGAGGAGACACTGGCAGCAGCTCCTTGAAGACATTCCAGGTTTGGCCCTTTCACCAGCAACGGCCAGAGGCGTTCGTGATCTGACAGTTGACCTTTCTGCAGGAGGCGGTGGTGGCAGTGGCCTAGACATGAAAACAAAGGATGAAAATCCATCTGGAGAATTGCCGTGACGACAATGACATGGGCAGGCTCATGGGAAAAGCATCTTTGAATTTGCTGCGAACGACCCTGTTTTTGCAGACTTATGGTTCGGATTTCTTAATAGCTTTGGTCACACCATCAACGGGGTGCTGGAAGGCTACGATGGTTTCCAAAGCGTTGCTCAAGTTCTTGTAGATGTTGGAGACGGCACTGGCCTGAGTGTGTCAAATATTGTGCAAGCCTTTCCACAAGTAAACTTTGATCTTCCACATACAATTGGAAGTTGTGCTGTGTTTTTGAACACTAAGGGTTTTTGTGCTGGAAACTGAATTGTTGGGCTTGCAAAATAATTCTACTAGATTGCTCACATCTACAGCTTGTTATGAAGTTTTCATTCCTCAAGAACGATAGTGCTTAGGTGGTGCTTTAGAAAACAAAGATGGTTTGAAGTAGTTTGTAACTTTCTTTCTCATTAGGACATTTTTTTTATATACCTTGATGTAGGTTCTACTTGAAATGATTTCTTTTGAGCTACTACAGGGTGAAGGAGAGCTCAACATTGCCAGAGATGGATATCCAGGGCCAAGAACCAAAGTGGCACTCAAAACTTTCACAGTTGGAACAACGAAAAAGCTAAGGCTGAAACTGTTACAGAGCAGGTGGGAAAATCCTAATCGTGGACCTGAAGAAAGGGAAAAGAAAACAGGGACCTAATGTCCTCTGCGTTGATGGCGGCAACTACATTGTTGACATGCTGCCTCTCTCCGCTGGCGCAGTCGGGCGATTGATGCGCTTGAGGATCGCCATTGCTCGAGATCGTTCTCGTCGAGTTATACGAATCAGCATCTTCTTTATTTATTTGCTCTCTCCTTCGAGTTATACGAATCGGCATCTTCTTAATTTATTCGCTCTCTCCTTCGTTCTCGTCGAGTTATATGAATCGGCATCTTCTTTATTTCTTCGCTCTCTCCTTATACATCCTCTTCTTTTTTATAGATCCTTATTCTGTCGACCCCTTCTCGTGCCCTAATTGCTAAGGTGGCAGAAAAATATTCCGCGGATTTTCAATCCACACCAGAAGTCAGTCGGCGATCAAGACCTAATGATGCTAGTTTTCACTGGAGGGAAGCAGAGGAGTGCAAGTGAGTAGCAGTTCGCATTTCAAGGTTTCTCAAATGTCAACTTCAAACCTCTCCCCACACGAGGCATTCAAGTAAGAAAAATCTTTGCATAATGGAGAAAGTCTCATTGTCAGCATCTTATGGCTAGCCTTAGTGATGACGGTGGAAGAGACTTTTGATGATGTTATCATGAGGCAGGGATGCCAACTTATTGAAGTTCAGAGTGACATTAAGAAAGTTAAAGGTTCACCCACCAAGAGAAATCTGTAAAAGATCATACCAATAAGAATCCAACTGCTCTAAGATAATATCATCAGGTTGAGTATGGACCCTTACAAAAGAAGAGATTGCAAAGTAAGTTTTAAAATAAAGACTTCATCAAAAGTTATTGTTGATGGTGCAATGCCACTGGTGTTAACATTAGATTAGCATACCAAATCAGCTAGAAATAGAAAAACTGTACAATACAAGTTTTTCATTTCAAAGGGTGCATAATAAGAGAAGATCAAGCTTGCAAAGTTTGACCCGCAACTGCACTTTTCTATTTAACATTTTTTAAGTCTAAAATCCAGTGGCCCAGACATGAAAGCGAAGGATGAAAATCCATCGAGGGAGTTACTGTCAACAATGACATGGGCAGATGGTAAGGAGGAGGTTTCGGGAGCTGTTGGTGTCCATCACGTGAGGGTGTAACTCCGCCTTATAAAGGTCATAATCATTAAGTTTCCTATTGTGAACAACCTTACTATGGAGGCGCTAGATAGCTATCATATGATGCTCTCTCTCGCTGAATCGTTTTCTACTCCATTTGTGATCAAGGCAATCATCAAACTGGGAATACCCAATATTCTGGCGAAGTCGGACAAGCCAATCCACGTTGATGAGATGTGTACCATTCTCCAAGCTGCAACAGGCCAGGCTCACAACTCGGAAATTGTTCGAAGGCTCATGCAATCTCTTTGCAGGAAGAACATATTTGAAGAGCAGCCCGCTGGAGTCTTTGGGCACAACTCTCTATCGCGCTGGCTCATAGACGGCACTCCAAAATCGCTCGCATCCTTCTTCCTGTTGACAACCTCAGAGGCAGGGCAAGCTGCTTGGCACCATCTGCACGAACTGGCTTTGGAAGTGACTTCGTCTTCAACTTCTGCATTTGCTAAGGCTCATGGGAAAAGCATCTTTGAATTTGCTGCGAACGACCCTGTTTTTGCAGACTTATGGTTCGGATTTCTTGATAGCTTTGGTCACATCATCATCAACGGGGTGCTGGAAGGCTACGATGGTTTCCAAAGCGTTGCTCAAGTTCTTGTAGATGTTGGAGGGGGCACTGGCCTGAGTGTGTCAAAGATTGTGCAAGCCTTTCCACACATCAAGGGAGTGAACTTTGATCTTCCACATACAATTGCAAGTGGCACTCAAAACTTTCCAGGTTCTCTCTCTCTCTCTCTCTCTCTAATCTTTCTTTGAAATTTAGGAGTAGAACATATTGCTGGGGACATGTTTGAGTCCGTTCCAAAAGGGGATGCGATATACATGCAGGTGCGTGTAAGCTCAAGATAAAAGACCCTGAGAGCTTTAGAATCTGCAGAAAGTTTTGCACAATTGGAACGACGAAAAGGCTAAAGCTGTACTCAAAAACTGCTACAATGCACTGCCAGTCGGTGGGAAAATCATAATCGTGGACCATATATTCGATCCACACCAGAAGGCAGTCGTCGATCAAGACCTGGGGATGCTAGTTTTCACTGGAGGGAAACAGAGGAGTGCAAGCGAGTGGAGAGAGCTGCTCGCGTCGCAAGGTTTCTCAAACGTCAACTTCAAACCTCTCCCCGCAGTCAAGTCTCAAGCTGTCATCGAGGCATTCAAGTAACAAAGACCTCTGCATAATGGACCAAGTCTCACCCATGAAAAAATAAATAAATAAATTCTGTAAGAGATCATACCCATCTCTAATAAGAATCCTGCTTCTCTAAGATAATAACCATCGGATAATAGTTATGACCGTCTCGGAGGGCACGGCAACCCGAACCGGGTGGACGTGTCAGGAATGCAGGCGAGTGATTGGGAAAGGCGAGCAAGTCGTGGTGCGCGAGGGCCGAAAGCTGCGGTAAAAATCACTGACAAGTTATATATCATCTCTCCAAGGTGCCGCAACTTGGCATTTGCCAGATTCACACTCCACAAGGAGTGTTTCAAGGGAGCCGACCCTCGATCCCAGTCCAACTCGTATCTCACGGAGGGGAGATTCCCGGAGCAAAGCTTCCAAGCTCAAGCCCCTGCTCACAAAGGCCGCGGCAAATGGAGCGTGAGCGAGTACGGATACAAGGACGGGGACTCTTCCGGAGGAGCAGGAGGAGCGGCAAAGTCTTGCGGCTCCTCCAAATCCCTGGGGGGCATTGGAGCCCTCAAGGAGGAGGATACCACTACCACCACCAGGCAATAGAGAGCTCCCTTAAAGAACCATTGATCATTCATCACTGTAGCTGAGATAATATAAGAACAGGAAAAGGAAAAGCAAAACTGTCCCGCGGTACCTTGCTTTACAGAAACCATGGCTTTGTTACAAAGCAGGGACGTATGACTCGAGCATTATGCGCGCCGGCGTGGGAGCAAACACGTCCACGATCAGGTACGTGAACTTCCAGGTCCGGTCCAGCTTGTCTTTGAACATCTCGGTGTAGACTTTGCCAGAGCCCTGAGGACCCCGGATGAAGAACATGATCTGCAACAAACACGATTAGCCTGTTGTGTATCCCGATTTGAACCAGTAAGTAATGTACCTCAATTCTCTCGACACCATCCTCGTCTTTCCACACTCTGTTGCTGATCCGTTGCCTCGCTGCTCTGTGGCGGCTTTCTTGCCCATAGCCAGTTACAGGCGTCCCTATGCGCAGCGTGACCTGATAGTCCACCCAAGGTTGTGTGAGAACTCGGCACACAAAAGAGAAAAAAATCTTACCTGACTGTCGTGTTGGACCCTGTCCAGGGCTTTGCCAAAGATTTTGTACCTAACAGTGACAGTGAGTGACAAGGAAGACAAGAGGGAAAAACATTTTCGAACTAAAAAAGAAAAGCTTACTCCTTGGGTTGGAAAACAAGCTCCTTGAACACTGCATAAGCAGCAGCAGCAGCCACAGCCAGCCCAGCGAGGATGATGAGACCGTAGGATGCCCCCTCCGCAACCGTGACGGGCCTCTCCGGGATTTTATCGGTGATCGAGTCGAAAGGGTCTTCTTCTTGAGTAGAAATCCCTTTATCTTGTGTCTGCTAACGAAGAACAAAAAAAAATTGGATAGCTCATGATGGTCAGTGGCGACCGCGAGATTTTTGTTTTTACCTGCTGCTGAGTTGCGTAAGATGCCACGGGCGTCAAATGCGCAGACATTCGATAGGCCGAGCGGCTAGTTGGATAAGCAAGGAGCTCCCGGGAGCTGCTGGACGGGCAAAAACTATGTAGAGAGCGTGATCCTGGATAGAAAAAACCATGACTAAGATCGAAAGAGAAGAATATGACTCACCATGGATTTCTGGAGCACTCCGGGCTCCGTTAATAGCACGCACGGTCTGGAGCTGCAAATTCCGGCGATGAGAAAGAATGGAAGATCCATTACCACCATACCTTGCGCAAGATGGGTCGAAACGACCGCCATGACATAGCGCTGCCCTTGCACCCTAGAAAGCCCTATACCGAAAGGAAAAACAAAATAACGTTACCTCTTTTATCGTTGCATCTTGGGAAGCCTGATCGATCGTTTGGAGCCTGGAAAGATCTGCGAGGAGATTCTGGATTGAGGCGCCGCTACCTCTGGCTCCGGTCCTGATGCTGTGCTTGTTTTCATGGGATTGATCGTGGTTGTCACTCCGCCAACCGGGACCGGGGCGAGGATGTTTTGGATGTTTTGGCAATGCTTGAGCGCTGTCCATCTCTCCTCGAGCTTCTTCCCGCAATCTTTCATGTCGTTGATTGTCGGGGGATTGTTCTTGACCTGGAACCGTTCTGTGAGAACGGCCATCGATGGATCGATCTTACGCTGGAGTAAACGTCTGTTGAATCCTCGAGATAGCTCCTCAAGCATTCCACATCCTCTAGAAGCGCGTCCTAGAGATAGATCGATTCGAGTTAGCATAAAAATCTCCAAGAAAAAACAGAAGATCGGTTTCTTACATGCTCCGCGGCGAATGCGTGGTGGAGGCGATCGTTGATGGCGTCGATCCCTGAGACATTCAAATGCGGCGCCATTTTCCTCACGATCAGCGATGGATCCATTGCGACCTTCCTGAGAACTGGATGATCGTCGCCGCGGGAGAAGATTTCACTTCGGCGAGGGGGAAACAGCGAGGGGTTGCCTTTCTTCTGCTTCTCCTGGATCGCATTCTTGCTCATCACGTAATCCAGCGTGCTCTTGCACCGGCCGTGAAGCGATAGCGGATTCTTGGCGGATTTCCTGGGAGAAACCTGGTGATCGGCCTTGGCGGCAACAGGAGGAGACGAGCAAGAAGGGCCAGATCCCTGATCTACCGCCTGGGATCGAGAAGGAGAAAGATCGCCAAGCCCTAACGCCAGAGATTGCGACTGCTGCGCTTGCGCCTCGCAAGAATCGGTGGCCTGGATGTGCTCCACCAGGATCTTGATCTCCTTCTCCAGCATTTGCCTGGCAGGGGTATCCAAAATCTTGTGCGACGCGACCTGGCGTTGCATGTCCTCGTCCACAAACTGGAGAATCTCCTCGTAGGCCACCGCTTCCCGAAAGAGCACCTCATTCTCCTCGATCACGGCCGCGCCAATGCTCTTGCGCACAACATCGCGCTCCCCTGGATTGAGCAGCGCCGCAATCTCGTTCCAGAGCAAGGATCGAACGCGGCGAAACGGCAAGCGACGAGGATCTTCCATGCTAGCCAGAAACGAGGGGAAAACAAACAGTGCTTAGGTTTGAAAAAAAATGCCTTCGTTGGAAAAAGAGAGGGAGGGAATAGAGCAAATGGTTGCGCCGCCCGTGGGGCTCGAACCCACGACCACAAGGTTAAGAGCCTTGCGCTCTACCGACTGAGCTAGGGCGGCAAGCTTGTGCTCTTGATAATGGTTTCCTTCATATAAACGAAAGACAGCATTTACTTTTTAAAGAGAGAAGACAATGGAATGCGGCATTCCTGAGAACCTGAGCCTTGGAGGCACTTGCAAAAGCTTTCGCCGTCTCGAGGAATAGCCTCTGGCAATGGACGATCTGGAGAAACACCAACCTACGTATGAAAGAGAAAGAATCACGTAAACTTTGAAAAAACTGTAAGAAACTTACTTTGTCAATGTCAATCTTGTCCGGCGTTTGGTATCGAGCAGTAGTAACAACAAGCCCAGAGCCATCTGATAGTTCAAACACAGACTGGATCTTCCTGGCAAAGAGAAAGGCGAGAGTTGGAAAACAGCTATAAATGAAATCCATGCCTTCGTACCCCTTGCCAAACGTAGGCTCGCCGAGAACAGTAGCTCGATCGTTGTCTTTGAATGCTCCAGCGAGAATCTCACTCGCACTGGCAGTTCCTTTGTTCACCTGAGAGAAAGAAGAAGTTGAAAACTCAGAAAGATCGTTTTTATACCAGTAGAGCCAGAGGTTCTGAAGGAGCTATGGCACTACCACCGTCCGCCTCGTAAATGTCTCGTATCCCTCTGTTGTCAGCGATGTACACGATAACTCCCTTGTCCAACCTAGAAAAACGTTTGGTTTCTACGCAAAGAAGGGCTACTGCAAGAAACTTTACCACATTTTTGCAATGTCGATCACGGCAGGGAAGTATCCACCGCTGGAATCAAAAGCCCGCTGTGAAAACAAAGATAAGTGAAATGCATACCCGTTGTTTCGGATGTCAAGCACGTAACCAGACGCCCCGCTTTTGTGCAGTGCCTCCAGCGCCTGCTGTACAGCACCTACAAGCGATGCGTTAAAATTACAAACAGGATTGGGAGAATCACTTACGAACTGAGTTCTGGTTAAATGTTGACAAGCGGATGTATCCCAGCTTTTGATAGGAACTGACTTCGCAGAGCTTCCACGTCACGGGATTGACGACGATTTTTTCTCTTCTGAACGACAAACCATGTCAAACATCAAGAACTCAAGCCAAAACACGTACGTCAATGTCATCGTGTTCTCCATTCTGCTTTCTCTGTCGAGCACAGTCAGTATGACGGATGAGTTCTCCGGACCCCTGCACCCATAGCCGGTGTCTCACTGAAAGCAAAAGATAAACAAGACAAACTTACTGGAGTTTTTTAGCAGCATCGTAAAGGCTCAAGCCTCCAACCTTCTCTCCATCGATCTCTAAAATAACATCTCCAGGCTGAATGCCTGCTCGAGCAGCAGGACCTCCGGCCACGGGCGTCACAACTACAAGTTCGTCTGGCAAGCCGCTCGAGTTAGCGTCAAATCCAACTTCCAAGCCCACTCCCGTCAAAGCACCCGTAGTGCCAGACTGCCTACACAGCAAGAGCTCGGGAGTCAGGAGACGATCATCAGCGCTGCAACGTTTTAGCAACAAAACAAGCTGCTCACCACCAGGCTCTTAAACTTTTCTGGCTCCAAAAACCTCGTAAAGGGATCGTCCAAAGTTGCAAGCATCTTGCGAATAGCAGCATCTAATCGGAATAAGCCAAGAAAGTCAGTAGATGAGAGAATCCAGAAGCAAAATACTCACACGTTTCTTCTCTGGTATTCATGGGCTCGTTCCGAAGCACATTTTCGCGATATCTAAACCAGCTTTGTCCGTTGAAGCTCTTGTCAACGTAAGCCCGATCGATCGTTCTCCATGCTTCCAAGAACAGCAAATTCTCCTCCGTAAGAGCCCCTAGGAAATACCGAGAGAAAAATCAATCCAAAAGCCATAGAAAAGAAGAACTTTTCAAGGGAAAAACACTCACAGGCGGAGAGATTGTTTGGTACCGAAGCGATCAACGCAATGCTCAAGGCAGAAGTTACTAAGAACAGCAGCCACTGTCTCCTTCTCAGCCTATCGATGTGATACGTAACAATCTCGAATCTTAGCAGCTTTCGTCCCCATACACAAGCTCGAGAAGCTGCTTCTTCTGACAAAACCTTTACAATTCTCAGCCTCTCACGGTTTCTCAAGCTAATCTTCTGTCCCCTCGCGAATATTGCCCCCTGCAAGACAAAAGAACACGCAATGCGGCCCTGATTTCGAGATTTCCCATTGCATCATTGCCTACCTTGCAGAGTTGGAGCCGAGCGCCTGGCGCGGCGGCAGGCGCCTGCCATATCCCGGTCGCCATAGCCGGAAGGAGCCCTAAAACTGTGGGCAAAAAATTTGAATTTTTGTGGGCAGAGTTTAGGGTTCTTGGGTTTAGGGCTTGTGGAGAAGAAGAGAAGAAGAGGCGGCAATGGCGCAGCTGGATGACAGCACGAATCGGCTCTACAGGATCCGGCGGACGATCATGCAGATGCTGCGCGACAGGGACTACCTGGTGGCCGATTACGAGGTATCGCTCACCAAGGAGCAATTCAGGGACAAATTTGGGGACGAGCCCAAGCGCGACGATCTTGTCATCAGCAAGGCCAAGCGCTCAGACCAGTCGGACCAGATCTTCGTCTTCTTCCCGGAGGAGCCCAAGGTGGGGGTGAAGACGATCAAGACGTACGCCGAGCGCATGAAATCGGAGCTCGTGTTTCGCGCGATCATGGTCGTCCAGACGAGTCTCACGCCATTTGCAAAGCAGTGCCTGTCGGAGATGGCTCCAAAGTACCAGATCGAGGTGTTCCAGGCAAGTGTTCTTCCCGGATAGAGTGTTCTTCCTGGATAAGTTTTCTTCTCTAATCTTTCTTCGTTCTTTTTTCTTCGTTCTTCCAGGAAGCGGAGCTACTGGTGAACATCAAAGAGCACACTTTAGTGCCCGAGCACCAGGTTCTCTCTGCGGAAGAGAAGAAAACTCTGCTCGAGCGTTACACTGTCAAGGAAAGCCAGGTAACTCATACTCGCTCTCGTTGCTCGCCTTGATCGATTAACCATTCTTTTGCTCGTGACAGCTTCCTCGTATGCAGGATCGCGATCCAGTGGCTCGATACTACGGTCTCAAGCACGGCCAAGTCGTGAAGATCATCCGGCCGAGTGAGACTGCCGGACGATACGTGACTTACCGCTACGTTGTTTGAGGCAAGAGTAAGAGTGGTCTGGTCTTTTAACATTGATGGCCTTCTGCTGTGCTAGAAACAAAGGAGTATAGAATGAGAGAAGCTACGAACTAAGAAAGCTAGAGTCATCGAAAGGATCCATATACTTTGGGAACGATCGCTCTCGCTTCACACAGCGCCTAAGTCGCCGATTTCTTGGCGAAATGTGGGCTGAGGAGTCCTGGGATTTCGGTCATGTCGATCCGATCCTTGCAGCTCAGGAACTGCTTGAGCTTCTCGTCGGGCAGGATATTCCTCTTCTTCTCTGGGTCCTGTGGAAAAAACCATTCGATCATTGATAACGAAAAAGCTATGAAAAATCTTCCATTTATCTGAGAAGAAGAGAGAGAGAGAGGAGAGGAAGAGACCATACCTGGAGATTGTGGCTTTTAATGTAGACCCACATCTGCTTCATCGCATCGATCCTCGACATTTCCTGGAGTCCGAAGAACTTCCTCCCAGCGGCGGAGATTGGCACCACCAAGTTCAAGCCCCCGGCGGCCTTGCGCCCCTCGCCGCCCGCCGCCGCCGCCGCTACTGCCGTTCCTGTCCCGGCCTTCTTGGCCGCCGCCGGCGCCGCCGCCCTGGCGAGCTTCACGGCCTTGGATGCCGCCGAACCAGACGCGGACGCCATAGCCACGAAGAACACAAGACGCGCAAAACCCCAAAACCCTGAAACGCTGTGCTAAGCGAGGAAGCTGGCTATCAAAGCACTAAGTAAATATGACATATCGCCTGCCGTACATCTCTCCCGGCTTTCGGCCAGGGGCCCATTACCATTCCGGACAGCCTTGGAATAATGCTAGCATCTTTTTGAAATTCAAAAATTTAGCGCGGCGATGGCGCGGAAGAGCTTGCTGGTGAGCTCCTCGCCTAGAATCGCGTTTAGGGCTCGATTCACCATGATCGATGGCGGCTTCCCCACCAGCGTCGCGCGCGGTAGCCATTCCATGAGCTCCGGGGCGAAGGCTCGGTAAGGAAGCCAGGAAGAGTACCAGCTTGGGACGATCGCGTGGCGTTTCCTCGAGATGCTGGCGTCCACCACGGCCTTGGCGGCGTCCCCGCTCGGTATCATCGGCCACCACCATGGTATGTGCCCCTGGAGGACGTAGGGTTTGAGAGAAAAATAATGAAACGAAAAAGTTCTTGGCGTGATTGGATTTGTACCTCTGCGTGGGCTGTCATCTCCGATGCTACGAAGCCCGGCATTACGATTGTGATGTCGATCAATCGACCGATTGGTTCAGTGCGAAGGGTGTCGAAGAACTGGACCAAGGCAGCTTTCGCGGCCTGGAAAGGAAAAGCTTACATAGTTGTAGATGGTGCCAAGTAAAATTGGATGAAAGTTTCATACGTTGTATGGAGCCTGGCGAGGATATGGACAATAGGCTGCGACTGATGCTACCACCACCAGCTGACCTTTGGCTCGCGCGAGATGTTCCAATGCATGCTTTGTGGTGAGCACGGCCCCCAGGAAATCGACGTCCTGGAATTTAATCAGGGAGAAAAAGTAGCGCAGAAGAAAAAAAAAACGATTTTTTATACCATTGTTTGTCGAAAGCTGCCAGTAGTTTCATAATCCTCAAAAAGTCCGCTCTCGGCCATGCCAGCATTGTTGACGAGAACATTAACTTCAATGCAGTAAAAAGTTAGCAAAGGAACTTGAGTAGAAAACATCGACAAAGCAGAAGAATCTAACAAAAAAATGGAAGGAAGAAATACCTCGACCAAATCTAGAAACTGTGAACTCCACGATGCGTCGGCAATCGCATTCCTTTGTGAGATCAGCTGGACACACGGCTGCGTCCATAGCTCCAGCCTCCAAGCACGCTTCCGCCACTTCTCTTAGCTTGTTCTCTCTTCGTGCCACCAGCACCAGCCTTGCACCATATCTTGCGTACTCCAAAGCTATGAACTGCAAGCCCAATCACAGGGAGAAAGAAGTTAGCTTCCATCCGCGAAAAAAAAATAACAAAACTTACGCTGCCGATTCCAGACGAAGACCCCGTAACAATCACCACATTGCCTCTAATCGTCTTGGAGCTCGTGAAAGCGCTGCGGATCTTACGAAACCCCACCATGCAAGGCACCACCAACGGAAATATCACAAGCAAAAACGCAGCCGCGATCCAGCCGAGGAACCACCTTACCGCGACCTTGACACCAAAGTCTATGTCCATCGTCGGAGCGAAAGGAAGACTCTCCCTTCTCAAGCACATATAGTCTCTTTTTCACGCATGCAAACATGCATGGCCGGCTTTAGCTCCCTATAGATCCTGCGAGACCTTTATCGGCATAGCTACATTCGTTCTTCCTCCTCCTCGACTTTGGGCTCAAGCTTCTTTCTTTCAGCTTCTTTCGCATGGCTCTCGAGTACTTGCTCGTAGCGGAGTAAATGTTGGCCAGCGTCAGGTAAGATGCTGCATTCTCCGGCTCCAGCTCCATGAGCTCGTTCGCTGCTCGGGCACCGCAGTTGGGATCTCTGTGAACTCTACAAGCCGCGAGAAGGGCCGCGTAAGTGACCGAGTCGGCACGGAAAGGCATCCGCTTGACGAGCTCTTCCGCAACACCCAGCAATCCCACTCGACCGAGAATGTCTACCATGGAGCAGTAGTGCTCCACTCCAGGCGAGAGATCGTGATCTTCCTTCATCGAGTTGAACTGCTTCCACGATTCCTCCAAGAGCCCGAGGTGGCTGCAAGCGTTGAGGATGCTCATGAAGGAGATCTCGTCGCGACGAACACCCTCCAGATCCATGCTTCGAAACACGTCCACCGCCCCGGTGTTGTAGCCCGCGTGAGCGTAAACTCCGATCATGGCACTCCAAGACTTTACGTTCTGCTCCGGCATCATCTCAAACAAGTTCTTGGTTCTCTCAATCAGACCAAGTTCCGAGTAGGCTGAGAGCATCGCGTTCCACGAGACTAAGTTTCGTTCCGGCATCGTTTCAAAGACCTCTCTCGCTTCTCTCAAATGCCGGCTCTCGGCAAATGCAGTAAGCATTGCGGTCCAAGAGACAACGTTTCTCTCTGGCATTTTTTCAAAGAGAGTTTTAGCCTCATCCAAGAAGAAGTTCTGCGCGTACATGGTAAACATTGCTGTCCACGAGATAACGTTCTGCTCGGGCATAGAATCAAACACCACCCTGGCCTCCTCTAGACAAGCGCGCTGCGCAAACGCGCCAACCATCAAGGTCCACGAGCCAAGATCACGCTCCTCCATAGTATCAAACAGCACCTTTGCGGATTCAACATTGCCACCCCGGGAGTAAGCCATGATCATCGTGTTCCAAGTCGTGACGTTCCTCTCGACCATTTGGTCGAAGATCGCCCGAGCCGCGTCGAGATTCCCTTCCTGGACGTGTGCCTGGATCATCATGTTCCACGACACGACGTCACGATTCGCTCGCTCATCGCCCACAACCGATTTGAAGAAGGATTTGGCCCCTTCCAGATGCCCGTGCTGGACGTAGGCCTGCAGCATCGAGTTCCAGAGAATCCCATCCTTCTCCGGCATGCTCTCGAAGACGAGCTTGGCATGATCGATTCGTCCGGCGCGAGCGTAGGCCTGGATGATCGGCGTGCACGCCACCGCGTCCTTGTCGGGCATCTCATCGAACAGTCTCTTTGCAGACTCCAAATGCCCAGTTTGAGCAAATGCTGATATCAAAAGAGTCCACGACACAAGATCTCTTTCCGGCATCGAGTCGAAGAGCTCCTTGACGCGCTCGACGTCGCCCGCGCGAGCATACGCAGTCATCATCGCGTTCCATGACACAAGATTGAGCTCGTGCATCGAGTTGAAAACCCGCCGCGCTTCTGTCACCTGTCCGTTGTGCGCGTAGGCGGTGAAGAGGATGTTCCACGAGAAAGTGTTGGGCTGCTCGATCGCGTCGAAGACACGCCGCGCCTCCTCCAGGCTGCCGCATCGCCCATACATTTGGACTGCCAAATTCGCCAGGTACTTGTTCTTGCGGAGCTTGGGGCTGCGCTGGATGATCTCCTCGACGACAAATTTGCCTTGCGCGAGATCTCTGGAGCCGCCGCACTGCCGCAACCGAGTTGCGAGCTCCTCCACCGTCTCTGTATCGATCGCAGCGATCGCCAAGGAGGAAGAACACATCACATAAGAATGCTTGCATTGTTAGATTAAAGGGCTATAAAGCAGCTCATCTTTCCAATTTAGGGTTCTTGGTTTTAGGGCGAAGGAGCGGGAATGTCGTCCGTGTACGTGCTCGAGCCTCTCACCAAGGGGAAGGTGGTCCTCCACACCTCCTCCGGGCCTCTGGACATCGAGCTCTGGGCCAGGGAAGCTCCGCAAGCTGTAAGTTCGTGAGATTTCTCATCGATTTTGTGCTTGACAATGCGAGCGTTTCCTATCGCTTCCAGACCCGGAATTTCGTCCAGCTCTGTATGGAAGGCTATTACAACAACACATTGTTCCACCGAGTGATTCCAAGCTTTCTTGTTCAAGGGGGCGATCCCACGGGCACTGGCAAAGGTGCGTTCTTTTAGTTTCTTCTTGTGTTCTTAGTATTCGTTTGTGGAACTTAGGTGGTGAGAGCATCTACGGAGAACCTTTTCCCGACGAGATTCACACGCGATTGAAGTTTCGACATCGAGGTTTTGTTGCCTGCGCAAACGAGGGAAGGCCAAACTCGAATGGCAGCCAGTTCTTCATAACTTTGGATCGCTGCGACTGGATCAATGGCAAGCACACGATCTTTGGAAAGGTTTTCTTCTTCTTTTTTCTGTTGTTGTAGATGTTCTCAAGTGAGTTACAGGTAACGGGAGATACGATTTACAATCTGTTGAAGATTGCAGAGTGTGATCCTGACGAAGATGACCGGCCGACAGATCCTCACTCTGTACTTTCCACTGAGGTGAATAAGTGTGATCTTTACTCTTTTATTTGTTTTCTCCTTTCAGGCTCATGAAGGTTCTTCCAGGTCGTTTGGAATCCCTTTGATGATATTGTACCGAGAAAACTTCACAAACCTGTGGATAAGTCCGGAGCCAAGACAGAAGAAAAGCCAGTCAAGCAGAAAAAGTAAGATCAGATTTGGAGCTCTTGTTTGGTTCTCAAGATTTTTGCTGTATTCAGGAGATTAAATCTATTGTCTTTTGGTGAGGAGGCTCTTCAGGAAGATGAAGAAGCGTCTGTCATCAAGGAGAAAATAAAAAGCAGCCATGATGTTCTGGATGATCCGCGATTGCTGAAATCTCAGGTCCCTGGTCCCGAAACTAAGGTACGTGCTTTGGACTTCAACGCTTTTTTGTTTAGATTTGGAATCTCGTATCACACATAGGAGGACAAACAACGTGAGCTAAGTGCAGTTCGCCAAGCCTTGGCAAACAAGAACCCTTTACCCGCACAGGAGGAAGAAGATGTTGCGAGTGATGGGGAAGACCAAGATCAAACTTTCGACGAGAAGATGAGGCAAAAGCTTCTTGAAAAGAAGAGGCTCTGGGATCCTCAACAAGAAACAAAAGGTACAACAAGATTTTCTTAAAAGATTTTTGTGACTAGCAGCGGATTGTTTGCTTTTGCAGCTAAAGCGGTAGCAGAAAACAAAAAGTACGTATCTGATAGTTTTCTCCCCGAATCCTCGTTCTAAACGCTTCTGGCTGAGCAGATCCAAGGTCATCCAAAAACCGGAGAAAGACGATGACGATGACGAGGACGAGGACGAAGAGGAGGAAGAGAGTGACATAAGGAAAGACAAACTAGTGATCAAGAAGCGGGGATTGGGATCAGAAGCAAGGGCAGAGATAGCGCTCAAGACCGACGTCGAAATGCAGCTTCTAACTCCCCAAGAGCAACGACGGCAAAAGGTTAAGCAACACAAGCGGAATCTCGGCAGTCGGGAAGAAACAGTACGTGGTCTCGTTCACAAAACTTCTCCATTGCTTACAATCTTTTGTTTTCCAGACAATGGCCTTGCTGGATAAGTTTCGGGAGAAGCTTTCCAGTCACAAAGCAGCCGAGCCTGACAAGGACGAAGCGTCGGATATTTTGAGTCACAAGCTCAAGTTCGAGCTGGACAGAAAGGTGAGAGCTCTAGACATATAGTTTGTGTGATATCGTGACGATGGTCTCTTTGTCCGCTCAACGCAGGATAAAATGGCCAGGAAGGAAGCGCTCGACCACTACGTAGTTGTGGATCCTTTGTTAGAGAAAGGCAAAGAGCAGTTTAACAAAATCCAGGCCAAGATGAAGAGACGCAACCGCGAATGGGCCGGAAAGTCCTTCACTTGAAAGTCAGATGTCTGTAATTTAAAACCTTTGTTGTAAATATTTTAAAGTGTGATTTGTAAATATTATTCAAAAATGAAAACTATAGTTGTTTAAAAAGTAGATAAAAATTAATAAAGACAGAGTTTGCTGGCTGTGGGGTTCGAACCCACGCACACTGTGTGTAGATGATCTTAAGTCATCCCCCTTAGACCACTCGGGCAAACCAGCCACGCTGTGATTTTGACCGCTTTAAATTGTCACGTAGGTTCTTATATGCTGACCATCTAAGTCTCGACTTTGGACAAAGCTTGGAATATGGCCAAAAGAGATTTACAAGTCGTTGGATGGTTTAACAAATGGAGTAGAAGCGACCGGCCCGAACAAAGCGTCTTCGTCATCGTCATTGTCTTCGTCTCCAAAGAGAAGGCTCGAAAGTGCGGTGCTCCGGAATGGCAGTGCCGCTGGCGGCTTGTTTAGCGTCGTTGGTGATGGACTCAGTGCTCCCAGCGTCTCGTTTGATCTCGATGGCGTCACGATTGGAGTCAGCGCTCCCGGCGTCTCGTTTGATCTCGATGGCGTCACGATTGGACTCTCGTTTGATCTCGATGGCGTCACGATTGGATTCAGTGGTTCCGGCATCTCGTTTGATCTCGATGGCGTCACGATTGGATTCAGTGGTTCCGGCATCTCGTTTGATCTCGATGGCGTCACGATTGGATTCAGTGGTTCCGGCGTCTCGTTTGATCTCGTGGATGTTGCGATCAAGCTTGGTTGCGGTGACACCGGATTTAACTTGGACAGCTTTTCTTCTTCCTCCCCCCCCTCGTCATCCTCGTCCTCGTCTTCATCAAACAGGGACTTGTGTCTAGCAGAACTCGTGCTCGGCTCTGATGTATCTTTCGACACGAGCGCCTCGTCTGTAGAAGAAAGCCCACTCTCAAGTTTGCGTAAAGCTTATGAAATCACACCACTCACCTGAGCTGCTCCCAGCTTTCTCGGCTGCTTGAGATCGCGATTCTCTGGAGAAAACAATTCACAAACTCAAAGGCGAACATAAAAGCTGGTAGCTTACTCTTGCCCGACGTCTGGAAACTCCGGTTGTGTGCCGGCAGGAAAAGAAAAGGATACTCGAGGTTCGTGGTGAGAGCTCGCGTCTTCCTCGCTCTCGCTCCAGTGGGAGGATTTGTCCGAAGAGCTCGCATCTGGCTGTACTGGAGGTGGAAGGATTTGAGGCTTTGCTTCTCGTCTTGCTCTCTCCTCCTCCAATTGTTGCGGAGAGTAGTGACGCTGGTCAGCTTCCCGCGCGATTTTGCCAAGTATGTCGTCAAGGGTAGCTTTTGCTTCGTTCACAATGTCATTGTTGCTCGCGCTTCCCAAGCCAGTCCTGCCATCAAACTTTAGAAAGCATGCATTGAGTGGAGCGACCAACAAAATGATACTAACTCATTTTCCGCGTTAAGATTTGCTGGTTCATATATGGGATCCATTCTTGAGCCATCGTCACCTAAGAAAACAAATCATAGACTAAATAGACAGAAAACCGATGCTTACTTGTTACATATGAAGCTCGCAGGGCCGCTTCAAGCATTGCTTTGAAGTCCATAGCAGCAGAGACGGCTGGTTCGTGGTGATCCTTGTGAACAAGAAAAAACACGAAGATAAGAGACTTAGAACGAATAAAACTCGCGCTTACTTGATCCTCAGGTGCCTCGTTACTGGGCTCTGACCATTCATCGTCCGAAATCACGCCACCGGCAACCATCTCAGCAGCCATGTTAACCCCATCCTTTTCGGCTTCAGAGTCGTATTCTCGTGTCACCGAGGTGGAGGCTTTGTGTCTCAAATCTGAACAACAAGAAAAGAAAAACTCGCTGTTCAATATTTCGAGAAATAAATGAACGAAACCTGGCAAGCCACAGTGAGGATCACGCATGAACTCCTCGCTTCCGATTATATAAGGCAAACTCCTGGGCCTCGCTTCCTGATAAGAGAAAGTAACATCTTCTCAACCACAGGAAAAGCTCGAGAGAACTGAAGAGATCTTACTCGGCTTCGAGAAAGCTTTAGATGCTCGTTCCATGCAGTGGTAACAGCCTCCTTGTAGCGAGGAACAATATCACCCTCGTAGCTCTCCACACGCTGCGGTTCTCCATCCTTTTCTTGCTCGGGAGTCACGGTTTCGTCTTCCTCATAGACACGCTGCTCACAGAGTTGAGGCGAAATCTCTCAAACACATGAAAGGAAAAGAAAGACACTCACATTCTCAATGAACTGCGTGTTGGAGAGAAGCCTGAAAGAATTAAACGCGTTCTTTAGATCCTGCTCAACGGAGGCGGTGTGATCCGCGAGCCGATCAATCTGCGCTCGCAGATCCTCAGCTCTGCCCTTGACGCTCGCGGCAAACCTCTCCAGCCATTCCTGCAACTGGAGAGAAAAGAGAAAAAGCACAATCAACAGCTCCAGCTCGAGCACGAGAAGAGAGAAATGCTACCTGAGCACCAGATTGGAGAGAAAATCCCGATGTCGCGGAATGCTCTAGCAGCGCTCGGAGCTTCTCCCGCTCCTCCATTCCATGAGCCCTAGTTGACCTAGAAACAGAGCTCTAAAAGATTTTGGTCTCGAAGAGCTCCTGGCATCCCAAGTAGGAGCGAGCATGACATCCAAGAACGAGACGCTGGCGTCCGCAAAGAAGAAGAAGCCCCCTCGAGCAGCACGCAGTCCTCGATGAATTGGCGGCAGCTTTGGTGTTGCGAGAATCGCATCGAGCATTCCAAAAGCTTTAGTGTATCACAAGCAAAAGAAGCTGACAAGAACCGGGACCTTTCTTGTCGATTGAACCGCAGTCGAGCAGGACCTTATTCGTTGCCGGGGAGATCTTCGTGCTCGACGCCTTTGAGCAGCAGTGCAAGCGGCTCGCATGGAAAAGGGGCTGGCCCGCTCACGAATCGATCGCGAGGCGCCATGGATGGAAATCGTCTTGGAATGGAAGAAAAGTGTCCACCAAGTCTTCGGCAGATTTTCGGCGGATGGAAGGCTTCAAAAGCGCGAGAAGAAGCATTTCTCCTAAAAGACTACCATCAAGGAAAGAAAAAAAGCAAATGTCCTCGATCGTCATACTCCGGACAGACCCAGCTCGCGTCAGAATTCCGCAAGCGCAATGCAAATCACCATTTATTAGTTAGAGAAAGCAAAATAGTTAAAGGTACGTAATTTTTATATTATTATAAGGAAACAAAAATTAAAATTGTGAAATTTTATGGTGTTATATATTAATTTTAATTTTTAAATATTAGTTTCAATCTAAACCACTCGCTCTTGTATAAATTAAAGTTTGTAAGTTAATTAATATGTACATTTTTTTATTCCATGCATTTACATTGGTGGAGATAAGAGGTAATTTTAATTGTAATTGAGGAGTGTTTAGATTTAAGCTTTTGGTTTAAATCTAACTTTTGCATCATTTAGATTTCACTTTCCTTGTAACTTTTTTAATTTCTTTTCTTTTGTTTATTTTGTTTTCTTACTTCATCTTCATAGTAGAGCAACAGCCTTCTCTTTTAACTTTAGAGTAGCAATTGGTGTAATTATTCAATGTTATGTGGTTGTAGTTGAACAATCAGAATCAGTTAATATTAATATTCACAATGTGGTATAATTACTTTTGCTTTTGTTACAAAACCTCATATTTGGCTAAAGTTCTTTTGTAAGAATTCTATAGATGATATTGTCAAGACCCCCAATAAGATCAAGACTGGAAAATGCAAAAGACAAAGAGAAAAGCTAGTGGAAACAAAAAAGAAGCCTTAGATTGGTGTTGATTCAGATTGTGGAGAAATGGAACAAGGCTAACCTATATATACTATAGGTTGATGAAGCTCCACCACTCTTGGATTGAGGACGGCCTAAATATAGCTGAGGTTGAGGAAGCACCACATCATCATCAGGAATGTGGCTCGAGACTCAGGAATCGTACAGGAAATCAAAGAGTCAGGAATAGGGAAGTGTCTCGAGAGTCAGGAATGTGGTTTGCAGGTTAAGAAGAATTGGGGGATTCTTGACAGCACCCCGTCCTCAAGAACAAGTGGAACGAGGACGTGAACGAGAATGAAGAGGAGGATGAGATGAGCGGCTGTAGCGCACGTGGTTTTGACCCTTTATCCTATGGTGATTTACCATAGGATAACACCACGAAGCGGAACCTAAACCCTCTTTGTGCCACGTGACAGATGCCACGTGTCACATACCACGTGTCCATGCCACGTGTCCATAGGAACCCGAGGTTCAGGGCCTTGGGCCACTGAACGAAGGAACGGTGCCAAACTCCCAAGCGTGACGCCAAGGAGTGATGGAACCGGACCACGGAGCAACTCCCGAGCATATAGCCCAAGGAGCGAAGGGACAGGAGCCCGGAGCGACTTGGAACAGTCCTGAAGCAACCAACATCCCAATGCCAGGACCAGCACGCAAAACGGAGCCAAACGGAGTCTGGCGCTATTTCGGCATACCGGTGGCCTAACGTGAGAGTATGGGTACTCCACCAGCTAGCATGGAATGGAACTTGGGCTTAGACCCAAGCCGGACGCAGAACAAGGACAGGCACGCAAGCGGGAGCTAGACTATGCCTCAGGTTGGTCGGCCATGCCCGACCTACCCACTATCCCTACTATACATTTGGAACCCCCCATAGCCCCCCCCCCCTTGAGGAACACACGCTTTGGGCTTTCACCCCAAGCCTCCCTTAGTATCAGGAGTTAGTCTCTGGGACAAGCTTAAAACTTACTAAATATGGAATGTCCTTAGAATGCGAATTTGGACACAGGACGAACACCATTGTGTTCAGGCCGACCTCTACATTCCGTAGATATGCCAAATGAGCGAATCTAGACACTTTCCATAAATAGCATTTGGGACCGAAATGAGACTAACACAAAGGGCATGATAGCGAGGGTGTTTGGCAGACACGGTAAGCTATCATGTAGCGATATTGAGGGACCAATCTCAATACGCGAGGGTTCTTGTCAAGCCAGTGCAAGACAGAGCAAAAGAGAACTAAAAAGCCAGGCCAAGTATGCTTGGCTGAATAGACACTTAGGAATTCCGTCCTTATGCTCATTCGGCCAAGTACAGATGCAAAGTCCAGTTTACTAACACTTGAACAAGAGGGGCTGATAAAGGGTCCAGCAATACCGACCTCCTGCCATCGTGGCAGTAAGGAAAGAGTGTCCGTAAGGACTAGCCGACAGGTAACTTTCGATACCCGAAGTCACATGCGCGACACTCTCCCCCCCTTGGGAAGATCGACGTCCTCGTCGATGCATACTCGAGTCTAGAATACCGCGAAGGAAACAACTCCATAAAAAGTTCACGGTACTCACACTATGTGAGAAATGCACCAACTTAAATGAGTTAGGGAGTAACCTCTTTGTCTAACGCGGATGCGCTACCAGCTCAGACACCTTCCGGCCGTCGCCGACAAGGAAATGACCAACGGAGTCAGCCACCCCTGCTGCTCTGGGAGTCACCCAGCTTACAAAAGTGTGATATGCCCTGCCCGCAGAGACATAGAGAGAGAAGCCAGAGGCCCCAACCCTCCTGAGCAAAGAAACCAAACCCGTCGGTAAGGTTTAGATAGACTACTGTCAACAGGCAGTTTAGAGTTGTTTACACGGTCACGCCCTTTCACGGAACAAGGAACATCGACAAAGAGGCGGGTTATGTGACCAGTCGACAATAGCTACCCCATGACTAGAGATTTCACCATGCACACGAAGTGCCGAAGCCAGTCTGCCTATACTGGCCCAAACTCAAAGATCAATAGATGGACAATATCAAAGTCATAGACAATGATATTTTAGAGATTTAATTATCAGGGAATAAAGCTTAGATTAGAACACAAAAGTATTCCAAGTAAGTTATCATCCGATAAACTAGTATTACAGTATAGGAACCACCAAGATCACTATCATTGGAAAACATAGGAATGACCATCCAACAAAATTCAATAGCTAGTATATCATCAAGGAAACTCAATGATGAAACTTAACTATCGAAGATAGTAGACAGTAAGCCAACAACTTACTAGAGAGAACTCAAAGAACACAAAGTATCATTGACTAACAAGCACAATGCTCGCGAATGTATCACCCAAGGGAAATAACATCCAAATCTATCAAAACTAACTTGAGCAACAATCAACAGGAGAAAATGAATGCGGTAAGACCAACAAACACTCATTCCTGCCAACTATCACAAAAGCCAATCTGAATAGATCCCAGCCAACAATACCAAGGAACTCAAGTTGCCTAAGCAAGTGTCAGCAACATCCTACTGACGTCTCAAACCCAAGAGACCAATCCAAAGCAAACCACAAAGAACATGTGGTATTGCAAAAAGCCATAAGCCATCAAAGAGAACAACTAACTATCATGAAAGATCGTCAATCAGCCCATCAATGTAGTGATGTATAATCATTGTTGAAGAAAGAATTTACCATCCCGAAGAATAGCAAATAATTCCAAACCAACAATAATCAAGCAAAACTTGTGATAAGGACAATCAACTACCCTAGATGATAGTCAATCATCACCAATGATTGCCAGATGCAAAAACCAACTTCAACATCGAAGCTAATGAGCCAAAATGCCTTCCCCAACAACTTCTAACAAATGGAACAATGAGCACAAAACTCAAAGAACCAAAAGCTCGAAGAAGCCTATAACTAAGTCTTGCCTAATAATGATCACGAGTCTCATAGAAGCTAACTTCAATGCTAAAGAAGAAATCATGGTGCAACCCACAATATCTTCCTCAACACATCCATAAGCCAAACTTCATAATGCCAAAGCTAATGAAGAGCATTTCTGCATCAATCCAAAAGCTAAGCATAACGAAGCTATGCTTAACAAGTGATCACCAAACGATCCTCCATGAATCCATCTATAGCAAGACGTAACTCACTTCATAGCAAGCACAAGAAGAATCATTAATGATTGATATATCTCAATTGAAATCCAAGAAGGATTCAATCACTTCAATGCCAATCACTAACTCTTCCTCTTATAGAGGTAGCATTGTTCACGACTAAATCACTTTTCAAGGAAAAGCTAAAGCTCAACCTCAACTAAGCAATCTCGTCTAGAACACAACTAACCCAAACTTGCCACTCAGTTCATTTGAATGTCAATACAGTTGCTAACTAGCAATTGCACGAATGCCAACAACACAAAGCTATAGCCAAATCATCAACACTATCTTCATCAAGACTAACGAAACTCGACATCAATCTTGCGGAGAGACATCTCATTTCACTGAAATCTCAATATCAACAATATCAATGACAAGGCATCACTTCAATGCCATCAACAACAGAACAAAGCTAGCAGAAAGCAAGAGTGAATCACCACTCGAAGCTTTCCAGCAACCAAGCTAACCAAAGTCGAAGATACTATACTTAGTATCCGAGACCAATCCTTCAGCAAAACTCAGTTACAGATAACACATCATCAAGGAATGATTCACCACGTCCAAGACTCAATGAAATCCAACACTACGGACTAAATGTAACCAAATGATATCGACAGAGGTAGAGTCGACATGTCAACATGGAAAACCCATGTATGTCTAACGACACGATCCTCCGCAACACTATTCGGTAAAGCAAGCCCACCACTGCTAAATCATCATCGAGCAAAGCAAGTGTCAACGGTCCTTGATGAAGTCTACAAGTAATCACTAGTCGCAAAGCAACTAACAATCACTCCTCAACTTGCCTTCACAAGACCCGAACACTAACTCATGTCATCGAGTTACATACTTATCCAACATGAATATAATACCCCAGGTACGAGATAAAAGTTCATAAACAAGCACAAACTAAATGACCACTCGAATCCAACTCAACCGTAATAAGCTCACTAAAACATTTAGCCACTAGCTCTGAGCATGCCTTGAAGAGGCTAGCTATGCATGATCAACACTCAGTCGAAACTAAAGTGAAGACCATGAGATGAACTCACATCGGTACACAACCTCCTCATAGAC